CAGAGTTCCCCAAAGTTGTCACCAGAGTTCCCCAAAGTTGTCACCAGAGTTCCCCAAAGTTGTCACCAGAGTTCCCCAAAGTTGTTACCAAAGTTCCCCAAAGTTGTTATCAGAGTTCCCCAAAGTTGTTATCAGAGTTCCCCAAAGTTGTTATCAGAGTTCTAAAAGTTGTTACCAAAGTTCCCCAAAGTTGTTACCAGAGTTCCTAAAAGTTGTTACTAGAGTTTCTCAAAGTTGTTACCAAAGTTCCCCAAAGTTGTTATCAGAGTTCTAAAAGTTGTTACCAAAGTTCCCCAAAGTTGTTATCAGAGTTCTAAAAGTTGTTACCAAAGTTCCCCAAAGTTGTTATCAGAGTTCTAAAAGTTGTTACCAAAGTTCCCCAAAGTTGTTATCAGAGTTCTAAAAGTTGTTACCAAAGTTCCCCAAAGTTGTTATCAGAGTTTCTAAAAGTTGTTATCAGAGTTCTAAAAGTTGTTACCAAAGTTCCCCAAAGTTGTTATCAGAGTTCTAAAAGTTGTTACCAAAGTTCCCCAAAGTTGTTATCAGAGTTTCTAAAAGTTGTTCCTAGAGTTTCTCAAAGTTGTTATCAGAGTTTCTAAAAGTTGTTAATAGAGTTCCCCAAAGTTGTTAATAGAGTTCCCCAAAGTTGTTACCAAAGTTCCCCAAAGTTGTTATCAGAGTTCTAAAAGTTGTTAACAAAGTTCCCCAAAGTTGTTATCAGAGTTCTAAAAGTTGTTACCAGAGTTCCCCAAAGTTGTCACCAGAGTTCCCCAAAGTTGTCACCAGAGTTCCCCAAAGTTGTCACCAGAGTTCCCCAAAGTTGTTACCAAAGTTCCCCAAAGTTGTTATCAGAGTTCCCCAAAGTTGTCACCAGAGTTCTAAAAGTTGTTACCAAAGTTCCCCAAAGTTGTTACCAGAGTTCCCCAAAGTTGTCACCAGAGTTCCCCAAAGTTGTCACCAGAGTTCCCCAAAGTTGTTACCAAAGTTCCCCAAAGTTGTTATCAGAGTTCCCCAAAGTTGTTATCAGAGTTCTAAAAGTTGTTACCAAAGTTCCCCAAAGTTGTTACCAGAGTTCCTAAAAGTTGTTACTAGAGTTTCTCAAAGTTGTTACCAAAGTTCCCCAAAGTTGTTATCAGAGTTCTAAAAGTTGTTATCAGAGTTCCCCAAAGTTGTTATCAGAGTTTCCCAAAGTTGTTATCAGAGT